TCATACAAGACTCAGGTATGAAACTCTTATTGGTTGGGATAGACTTCATGTACATTTCGTGAAGGACTGAAGGTTATTGTGGATGGAAGTGCAAGAGGTCAACCAGGCCAAGCAGATGCAGGAGGTATCTAGAAGGATGATGATGATGGTTCATGGATTAGTGGTTTTACCTGTAGAGTTAGCATATTGTGCATTTTCACAGCTGAGCTATGGGCGATTTATCATGGTCTCCACTTTGCTGCGAGCAGGATTACAGATTGGTTGAGTTGGGGTCGGATTCTCTAGTTGCGATTCAAAAGATCAGTAATCATACCATACGGTCAGATCCTCATTCACATTTGATTGATGTTATTAAAGAACTTCAACAACGTAATTGGGTTTGCTCCATAAGACATGTTCATACAGAGGCAAATTACTGCACAAATTGGATGGACACTCATTTTGTTTCACGCGGGTAGTCGCTAACAATTAAAAAGAAATTCAGACGATTGTGTAAGGGACAAACCTCTTGAGATAAAGTTCCAAAAAGGGGTGTTTTATTAATGAGAGTTACAATTAGAACTAAACAGAATGCCTCTAAGGGGCGCGCAAACACACGAGTACTGAAAGAAGACTAATTAAAATTAATCTAAAAAATTAAAATTACATATTCTCTGTTTGAGAGTGTTTAATTCGGGGTCCATTCCTCTATGTCTATTCTTTCCTTTTATACTCCCATGACGACTTCTGCGTGACAAACCGCTTGAAAACTGCTACCCATTTTCTTCATGGTGCCTAATTTGTCGTGGAACTGCCATCTCTAACTGTTACAATTACTTTTCGTTGTTCAACTGCTTTCAAAGAGATTTCTTAATTCGTGGAATCTGATAATTAGCTCGATAACTGTCTCAGTAACTGCTATTCTGGATGACTACAATATCTCACATATTAGGATTCTGGGTAACTCGAAGGCCTGAGCGAAAACGAGGCTGTAGCGCTGAGCGACAGTGAGGCACTCCATTCGTCCAAATTCTGGGCGTCATGCGGGTTTGGACGATGCTGTTACTGTGTTCAAGGGCTTCTTCTGCACTTACCAACAACCTCATTTGGCTCTTTGTCCTGAGCTTCCAATTGGGCTTCACTCTTTGAGCTATCCAATTTGGGCTGTATTTTTAG